GTTGTTTTTTGGCACATAGGAAACCCCCCCCCCCCGCAAGATTTGACGATTAAAAAATGAGTCTCCAGGATCATGTTATGAAAGCTAATTTCAACCAGCTCATTAATATTTGACTTCACTGCATTTCTACAGGCTAGGCTGTAGTGTTCCTCCTTGGCCAGTTTAGGGAAAGTGCTGGAGAGGGCTGAACTAACCGCAAAGTAATGAGGGCTAAGCTGCCGTATGAAATTTTAGTGCAAAAAAAGTGGTTTAAGACTAGATTGTAGATCCATACGCTTTACTCTATGGATGGACTTTTATAATTTAATCTGTATGGAATTGACATTTTGATGATCCCATGTAATCAGGGAAGTCTGAATACAGTGAAGGCATAACCCTCCCCTCCATAGGAAAAACACACTTTCTCTATGCCCTTGTCCATGCCATGTATTCCCCAATGGTTCTAGCAGAACTGCTTAGCGACCACAGCAGTTGGACTGAGCAGCTGAGGTTACAATGTGAGCAACTGTGTCAGACTGAAGGATAAAATTGCTGAGAGAGTATATGCCAACCATCTCAGAATGAATGCGGGTGAGTGCCTTTATTTTTATGTACAACTCAGCACATGCTTCTATGTTTTACTTTGATGTATGCACTTAGTGGCATTGGTTCATACTAATTCTATTATTAATCAGATATAATCTCAGACCCAACAGAGATCCCACTGTGCTCAGTATAGGGATGTTTTCTCAGACGAGCCTCTTTCCATTATCCTCGTTTGACTGAATATTGAAAGAACAAAGAGCAACATGCTCATAAAATCATTGGTAATTACAGTCCTAAACAAAGTGCTCTCCGTACCAGCTGACCTGCTTGAATCCACACAAGAACTTCTTTCAGTTAAAACAGTTGAGATGTAATGTACTGGATGGGGTGTGAAATTAACCCACTCATGCCAGACTGTGTCGTATGTTCTTAATCTGATTAACATGCTTATTCAACCTAATGAATAATGCGTCTACTTTTATATTGGCGTTCAAATACTTGTTGTGATTTGTTGTTTTAATGTCAGTTTATTCATTTGGCCAGTGGAGCCCAGGTCAGCCCTATAGGGTTTTAAAAGGAAGCCGATATCTGCTGACTTAGTCTTATCAGTCCAAAGCAGTGCTCTGTAGAGGGAGCCAGCTTAGATATTTTTTTTCTGGGTATCTATCTATAAAGCTTTCCTGCAATTTAATAGTGAAATCACACATACGGATGTATGCTCAGGTATGTGCAGACATGCTCAAAGGAGCTGAATTCAAACAGACAGACAGGCCAGTGGCCAACACTGTAAGACTGGTTGTGTGGGCAACTAAATCCTGCTGAAAGACCTTCATTCCCTTGCCGGCACCTTTCCAAGTATTTTTTCTTCAACTTTCCTTGTAAGAAATGCTTTATATGTATAGCAAGTCATATAAAGTGAACACACTGTCCCTTAAAACGCAACAGACTAGTTTATACGTTTATAAAGGTGATTTAGTGATATGAAATATGGCCAGGCACAGTTTAGAAAAGAGTTCAGCTTTGTTCACAGCTGTACATGTAACAGAGCAGGTCTCTGTTGTTATTGCTGCTGAGAGAAAAATCCATCTGATGCACAAGGTATGGGGTTGTTTTTGTTTTTTAGTATGAAGACAGAGAACAACTGAGAAACTTCTGATTTCATGGTAAGTTTCTGTCTCTATAGTGTACGCAATAAGTACATTTGTATTCAGACTGCATTTGCCTTTATTAAAGAACTTAAAGTAGACATTTGTTTTAAATACAACATGTTTGAGTGAAAGAACCTGATGGTAAAGATTTTTGACTTCATGAGTTGACAGGAACAGCACAAATGCACTTTTAGTTTTGCTCTCTGCAAGACTGTCTCATTTAGAGAGGAGGTTCAGGTTGAGCCAACTTGCCTGATAGCTTTACAAACATGGATTCATTCAGTTAGGTAAGCACATTTATTTGTACAACTGGACAGTCTTAGTAATTGAACAGAATAGTAGATAGATAGATGTTCAGATTTGTTCTATTTTCTTTTTTGTTTTGTTTGACGTCATGGCTTTGTGTGTATTTATTAAGACTTGATGTTGGTTTTTCAAACCTGTCAGTAGTGCCTTTCCTTGGTACTCCCTGACTCCTGGTAAAGGTTGTCACAGTGACAAAGGGTAAAATCTTCCTCAAGGAATTCTTCCTCACCCTCTTAAGTTAAAATGGGTAAAGTAAATGGCAGTCAGTTGATAGATATGTTCTAAAATTATTTAAAGTAGTTAATTTAAAGGTCCATGCAGGTAATTCATGTTTTTCATGTATGCGACTGATTTTACCACTGGCATTCATTAATCAACACGCAATTTCCAATCCAACCTTCCAAGAATGGGGTATTTTGATTGCCGAAGACTGGGGTGAAAATATTTTAAAATGTTCCATAGTGTTTGAGCCACAGTTGGCTGCAGTAGAGATGTCAGCTTGCAATCTAACTAAATCGATGAAGCGCACGCTACCTTTGAGCTACTCACTTCAGTTACAGGCTTCTTTCACTTTGGTGCAGCAGACACACACATCCTCCCAAGAGGGAGTAATTATGTCTCTGTGGTCGAGGCAGAAGACTGGTAGAAAAGTCTTTTTCTGTTTCTCTCTCTCTCTTCAAGAGGACTGCAGACATATGCTGTATCTTTACGGCTGAATGTCTGCATTGCACACTTGCCACATACTGGCTTGAAAGAAGCTTTTGGAGCTTCAGCCAGGCACCCTGTGCCTATAGTTATAGTTGGTTATAGACTTAAAAATTTGCTTTCTGTCACAGGTTGGTGGTACCCAAACGCAGGAATCTTCTCTGTTATGCCTCCCAAAGTTACCAATACAACTGGCAACCGTTACTTTTTAGACTTAGCCACGAGAATGGGTCTGTTAGCCTCATATATAATCTCATCCTCATGACTCAGTCCATGTAGTCAGCCATTGCCAACACAGTGCAGTTGACGGTTTCCTTGAAGAGCACACTAGTCTCAGCCAACCAGTCCTATACATGGGGAGAAACTAAACTAAAGCTAGTTAAGCTAAAATTATGATAGGTAATCATGATATACAGATGTTAACATTGGTTAGCAGTCTTCTTCCTTGGTTTTGCTGACACAACACTAAATTTTCTGGCTCTTAACTACTACCAAACAGGGGAGGAGCATGAAATCATTGGCAGGAATGTGTATCGCAATATCTACTAGTAGTCAAAATCTCCACAGGATATCTTTTAACTTTAAGTTACAGAGCTAATTGTTTAAATTGTTCAGTCTGTCAGCTGCTACACAAACAATAAATACACTTACAAACTCAGAAAGAATCTCACACCACTTAGTCTACTGCGCCATTTTAGTTCAGTTGTGGTTTCTTGGTGGGCACCCAGGTTTGGAAAAAGCCTTCACATTACCAATGTTTAGGTGAACCCCTACTGGATCAAGTCCTAAGAAAGCTTATGGGGATTTGGCTTAAACCCCCTGTGTTACAGAGGCTAGTGGTACAGAAAAAGAGATGAAGTTTGTGCATTGTTACTTTATCTGACAGTACCAAAAACTGACACAGGTATTTGGGCAGACTGGGACAGGCAAAAAAAGAAATTGTTGAAAAAAAAATTAAACAAAATGTGAGCTGTTTTTTGATTATTTAATGTGTAGTCATAAATGGTAAACATCTCTTCTGTTTATGGGAAATTCCACATATTTTTCAGATTATATTATTAATACTTAGCCTCTCCTTCCAACCCACCAAAATGATATGGTTGGAAGGCAAAGCTAATTCAGAATGGTCTGACTCATTTGGACACCAGTGGCACAGCCTGCCGTTAACCATCATCCAGTCTAAAACTTTGTCCGCTTACTTTAATGTCTCTGTAAGGGAAGCCAGTGAAGCCCATCAATTTTCCATTGACGGATCAAATGATTATGTTACTCACCAGGTTTGCGCTGGATGTTCTCAGGGCATATAGGACACCAGAGCAACGTGGTCTCACACAGACACAGATCAGTTCATCAGCCTTTGGACTTCCCTTCAGGTTGATAGCCAGCCCATGCTAAAGCCCAATGAAAAATAACAGAGGTTGCAAAGAGGATAAAGAGTATTGGAGTATACATTATCAATATATATGTTGTTTTTCCTGCTGCAGCCTTTGCTTCTGCACAGGATCGATACATTTTGAAGAAAAACCGAGCCTCTCCAGCCACTAACTTTCAATCAGAATAGATCAACATCAGTCATGTTGCTCATAGTGTGTGCAAGCAATAATAGTAGAAGGTGTCTAACCGAAGAGGGATCCCAAAAGTCTCCTAGGTTTTTTCTTCCAGGTCATGTGACCTGTGGCTGGCAGCCTTCCAGCAGAATGGAGAGACTGGACGTTTGTTCGACAGACCTAAACACAGGGTTAAGAAATGAAAAAGTGGTAAATTGTGCTAAAATGAGGGGGCCTTTTCACAACTAGGTATTGTTAATAGTCAAATAAAAATAGAAATTGAAAATAGATAATACACTAGCAATTGCAAATAAACAAATAGACTTAAAACTATACTCTGTCTGCCATTACTGGTACTTGTTACTGCTGCTGTACTACAACTTTACTGCTTTAGAGACCCCAGCAGTAGCAGTGGTAGAATTGAATATTTGAGTATGCAAAATAAAGTAATAAAATTAAAAACTCAGAACTCATCTTTATTAATAACTCCAGATACTTATTTAGTAAAGAAAAAATGTAAAGTTTTATATATATATATATATATATATATATATATATTTTCTTTTTAACAAAACCTAGTCTTAATATTCAACCTCACAGTGCATCTGCTGAATTGATGATGATGAATGATATTTCCTAATATGACTGTAATGAAAAAAAAATGTACTTCAATGTTTTTGTAATGGCCATATGATGCATGACAAATTATCCACTTTCTGAATCATTGTAAATTTTAATTGCACTGTGGAAATGTGTGGCTGAGGCTCACTATATATAATAGATAAATGTGCTTGATAATTCAGAGGGCCTGTATTGCATTTAAATGCATGTGTTAAAAGAGCCGCTCCTTTGTTAGGATTTAGGTTAGGAAGTGTGAAGCGCATAAAAGTGGTGGATGGGTTGTGATGCAGGCTGCATATCTTTCAAAACTGTGGAATCTTCTAATGTGAGGATAAACATGGCACCTTTTTAATTTTAATGTGTTTAGACGAATCGAATTCAATATGACCACTTACTTTGCGGTGCCTGGCCAGCAGAATCGGATTAAGATCAAATGAATTGTGGAAGTGGATTCAGCAGATCTGTCAGAGAAAAAGAAAATACCGCTTTAAAGGCAATACTTAATATGTAAAAGCACACCATGCAGTCCTACTGCTGTTAAAGTGAATTATTACTTTATCATACTGCACGGAGTGAAAGCATGAGTGGTTCAATTTTAAATATAGCCAGAATTACTGAATGATTCATCAGTGCAACTTGTGCTAATGTTTCTTACATTGTGCAGTTGAGTTGTTGACAGACAGCACTCCAGGGGAGGAGAGGAGAGGAATTCCTGTGAATGAGATTAACATATTAATTTTGGTTTCAGCGTGACTTCAGGTTTGTACAGTAACAGCTCCCTCCATCACCATCTGCCCATACCCCAGTCAGCAGTGTGAGCACATGGGCTCATTCATTCCCAGCCACACCCAACTGTACAATAAACACACACACACGCGCACACACAGAGACACACAGGGTTTGAGTTCCTGTGCGCTGCCAAGCCTCTTTTCTTTAGAAGGGGATGACTGCCCTCTGTTGGTGCTTCACATTCAGAGAATGTTTCATAAAAATACTAGCAGTAGAAAGAGAGATAGAATTGGACATGCAGCTAAAAACAACGACAAAGCAGAAAGAAAGAACATTGAACTATCATGTGCATACAAGGAGAAAAATGTATAAAAAACAATGACCAACAACATACTGTGGCTACATGCAAGTCAAGTGCAAGTTGTAAAAAAACACCCAAAATTAACAAATTAGCAAATGACGTAGCCTACTGATACTGGCGTTTAAAAGTTAAAATAAGAGCAAAAGTAATTAGCTAAATACTTCAAGCATAACTCTGGGCAAACACACAAAAATAACACTATTTGAAGTGCTTCTCAGGATTATGTGTAGAATTAATATATCCAAGTCTCTTGAGGGCCTTTTTAATAGTTTTAGAACGGTTATAATATTCGTATAATACAGCATGAGCAAAAGACAGAAAGGGAGCAAGAGAGAGTGCATAGCCTCACATAATCTACAATTAACACACACACACACAGACCCACTAATCTTATCCTCAGAAGCGGGGTGGCGATCTGATCTTCCTTGAGCTTTAGCGCTGCACCGAGGGCCGGGTGGGGGTTTGGAGGTCCCCAGAGGTGAAACTCTATTAGCACGCAGCATGAAAGTCAATGAAAAAGACCCCAGTGTGCTCCCGTCCCCTGACAGTATTAATGTTTAATGATATCTAAAAAGGCTAATACTCATCCCCCCTTTTCGCTTTTGCTTTTATCCTCTCATTAAATATCCTCACAATATCATCACCTCCTCAGATTAGAGCACTGACCCCATCTACTGAAGGACTCGCCCTTCACTGATGGTAAATGCATCTCACTCTCCCTCTCTCTCTCTTTGCACACACACACACACACACACACACACAGGAGAGATTAATGTACTATTTAAGATGCCTTCGAGGGGAGGCAGCAGAGGACCATATATTGGAATATGGATATGCAAAATAATACCTTGTGTGTGCACACAGAAAATTGTCTTTATAGCTTATACCAAGTGTATAAAAATACATAACTCAATGTGTCTATGCATATGTTTAGTACGTTATAGCTGTGTCTTGTTTGTGCTAGGGGATTCATTTATAATAATAATGGGGCACCAGTGGCAGCAATGCGTGTTCAGATCTGTGAGTGAGGAGGAAACAATCCATGTACACCATCTTGGATCTCAATGAGGCCTGTTCAGTTGTAACTGCAGATCCAGACAGGCTTTTTGCCATATTTATTAATTACAAAAACTGGGGGGGAACAAGTGAGCATCACACACATTCAGCAAATACTGCGACTTATCACAATGTGAACGTTATGAAAGTTTTTTTTGTTTGTTTTTGCACACAGAATGAAAAAAAAAGACACTAATGTGGATGAGTTATGGGAAGGAAGCAGGTGGAGCTTATTGGGTGTACGTGCTGGGTGAGTAGCATTCACTGGAAGGCCCCACAGCAACCCCCTGTGCATAACATTGCTTTATTTATCATTATGTGCCAGCAGATGTTCTGTCAGTCGAATGGCTTTCTTAACTCCCACATTCATTCACTGCAGTAAGCTAATGTTAATGTGTGAAAAGCTACTGTTGATACTACAGTCACTTAACCTATCCGGATGTGTTCACAATAAATAAAGTGTAAAGCTTTATTGCAAAGTCACATTTTAGCAAGGTTAGCTAACATTACAAAAAGTTGACTTGATAAGATTTATCCAAAAACAGATTTAGACTTTCTTTAAAACCTTTTGTTGGAAAAGCAGTTTGAACAAGCCGAAATAGATTTTATTATTTATCTGACAAAATTCAATAAAGGAGTACATCAGACAAAAATGTGTCTTGATATAGAAAAATTAGCTGCATTTGGCCAGATTTGTACCATTTGTACGATTTTACATCGGATTCCAAACTTCAGTGTAAATCTGTACAGTGTTGTTGTGCAAAATATGACACGTTGACAACACAGAAAAGATGGTGCAGTAAATGAACAGTGCACCTCTGGACTATGCAGTCAAGCATATTAATTAACTTCCATTGAAGTTAAACAGTTGGAACTAGTTCGATTTATTAATTTCCTCTCTAAATGTTCAAGTAATACAGGGTAACGGCAGTTATTTGAAATTATTTGCAAAATTTGAAATGCACAAATAAAACAATTGAGTCAAGAACTGATTTAGAATTGTTAATCAATTAGCCCCAAAAGTTTTAATTTCATCTAAAAATGTCCAATGACATCTATCCCCCCCAACACCACTTTCATTAAAGCCAATTTTCTCTTCTAATTCTGTTTCCAGTACCCAGTACCAAGTGCCAATAGCCATGGGCGGATCTAGAAGGGTGGCATGGGGTGGCAGCTGCCACCCCTAAAAGATGCCTGGCAACCCCAGCTGCCACCCCAGTTTGTGTCAAATGCTGTGAAACTTAAAACATTAATTTTGATTAATTTTGAAAATAAGGTTGTTAAAAACTGATTTGAAAAAAAAAAATTAATTAATAAGTTAATTGATTTCTAATGTCACCTTTTAGATATTTCTGTTCAAAACTTTAAGAATGTTTTTGAGTTAAAAGATCTATTTATTAGAGTCTTGGCTGTTTTTCTATGTCTTATTTATGAACACAGCATGCTAGCGGCAGTACAGCTAAGATACTCAAAATAACAATTCGAACATGCTGATAAGCAGGTTTAATGTTTACCATTTCCACCATCTTAGCGTACTAGCATGCTTAAATTAGCTAATTAGTACATATAAGATAGTATATCATAGTTGTGCAGGTATAAACCGAAACTATAAATAACTATAAACTAAGGAATAGAACAAAATTTGACAGTTAAGTCGAACTGATGAAAGTCAAAAGATCATCAAAGTAAGAACAATTTATCCTGAGTGGGACATCAATGTGTTGAATTGGATGTATTACCATCCAATAGCTGGAGATATTTAAGTCGTGACCAAATCAGTGCACCGACCGGGTGACCAACAGGCCAATATTGCCACCCTCAGAGCAATGCAGCTACAAGGTCAAAAATGCAATTGTGTCATGTAATCCAAACTCTTTAACTATTAGGTGCATCTCTCCCTTATAAGACGATATTATCTGGTCGCTCTTATCACAAGACCTTCACATTGACCTTTTACCTTTCACAGGAGTGAAATGTTCTTAACAACAACGCTTCAGATTCAAATGATTCATAACTTTAGAATTGGACCATCAACCAGTTCATGGTACATTTAGATCGATCCAGGGGTCCGCGAAGCGTTGTAGTCGCATCTATAGCATCAAACCAATTTCCGACTAATATCAGTTCATCTTTACACCCCTAGAAACTATGAATATAAGGTAAAAGTGCTGACTTCATCTTTAGTTTAAGTGTGAACAGTAACAGTGGATGACTGGTAGCAGCTCTTTCTATAGTCCTTACATTTAATTTGTGGTGGCATAATCCTTGATATGTCTCACTTGCGTATTTTGTCTAGTAATACTCTGCCAGGCCTGTACTGACGCCATCGTCTTACTGGCCTCTACCGCTGTGGGCCTTCAGTCTGGTCTTCAGCAAGTGAAACACACAACCAGTTGGATTTAGATCATATTTGTGACGTGGCAAGTAAAGACCTTCCCACTGTTTGGCTGTAAACAACTCCTCAGTTGCCCTATCTGCATGTTTGGCCTTTGTCCTGACGCATTAAAAAGGCTACCCGTCCCGCACTGCTCACACAATATGGATGTGGATACCCCAAAAAAAATTAATTTCAATTTTAACAAGTTAATCAATGTGGCCATGTTTTTTGACTGTACTGTAATAATTTAAAACAGGAAGTAAAACATCACATTAAATTGAAATGACATTGACATTATTTGGGTCAAGGAATTCTGAACCTGTGAATACTCTCTCTCAAAAGCTAATTTTCACTGCAATAATTAATTCCTTTTTTACATGAGGCATTCAAAACTAAATTTAAAATGATGCAAACACTACACAACGCCACCACGACATTAAAAAAAAAAAAAAAACGATATACTCTCTCACACATGCACACACAGCAAAACAACCACAAATGCACCAATGAGCATGTACGCACACACCAATGCATTCTCAAGGACACACACACGCACGCGCTCGCACACACACACACACACACACATACACAGTGCGAGCAGGCAAAAAGTCAGAGGAAATGCTTATGCCTACAAACACACCCAGGAGGGCTGCGTTGCACTTAAGTGGTCACTTTCACACACAAAGGCCAATCACAGGAGCTTAGCTGACCCCATCAAGCTTTTTAGCAAATGCTGCGGCGCTGAAATTGCTTGTTTAGTTAACCCTGTGTGCTACTGACAGAAGTGTAGCTCCATCACTCAAGTCTGTGTTGTGGCTTTGCTTTGAAGTCATTTAGAGGGAGACCATTCATTGTGTGTAGGATGACTCGGGCTTGTCATTTGTGAGGAGGGATTAGTCATGCTATGTTTATTGGAGAGTGTGCATCAGCTTTCTTGACTGCTGCGTTTTAGGGATTTTTGCTTCAGAGGTGTTCTTGTCAGAGTTGCTGAACACTGACAATGTAACGTATGAACATTTCAGCATCAAGCAAACTCTACAATTATTACACAATAGTAAAGTTGCATTAAGCCCTTATTCGCACAACAGTCTGGTACAGTTACTGTTATTAATCTGTGGTGGAGGAGACACACTGATTTATTTTGTTTAAAAAAACACAACAGTAACTCAGTGGTGTCCAGAGACTGTTT